TGGTACCACTTACGTCTCAAATATATCCAACATGGTACCACTTACGTCTCAAATATATCCAACATGGTACCACTTACGTCTCAAATATATCCAACATGGTACCACTTACGTCTCAAATATATATCAACATGGTACCACTTACGTCTCAAATATATCCAACATGGTACCACTTACGTCTCAAATATATCCAACATGGTACCACTTACGTCTCAAATATATCAACATGGTACCACTTACGTCTCAAATATATCCAACATGGTACCACTTACGTCTCAAATATATCCAACATGGTACCACTTACGTCTCAAATATATCCAACATGGTACCACTTACGTCTCAAATATATCAACATGGTACCACTTACGTCTCAAATATATCCAACATGGTACCACTTACGTCTCAAATATATCCAACATGGTACCACTTACGTCTCAAATATATCCAACATGGTACCACTTACGTCTCAAATATATCCAACATGGTACCACTTACGTCTCAAATATATCCAACATGGTACCACCTTACGTCTCAAATATATCCAACATGGTACCACTTACGTCTCAAATATATCCAACATGGTACCACTTACGTCTCAAATATATCCAACATGGTACCACTTACGTCTCAACATATATCCAACATGGTACCACTTACGTCTCAAATATATCCAACATGGTACCACTTACGTCGTCCTGGTACCACTTACGTCTCAAATATATCCAACATGGTACCACTTACGTCTCAATATATATGGTAACACATATATATCCAACATGGGTCTCAAATATATCCAACATGGTACCCCTTATGTCTTAATATATCCAACATGGTACCACTTACGTCTCAAATATATCCAACATGGTAATATATCCAACATGGTACCACTTACGTCTCAAATATATCCAACATGGTAATATATCCAACATGGTACCACTTACGTCTCAAATATATCCAACATGGTACCACTTACGTCTCAAATATATCCAACATGGTACCACTTACGTCTCAAATATATCCAACATGGTACCACTTACGTCTCAAATATATCCAACATGGTACCACTTACGTCTCAAATATATCCAACATGGTACCACTTACGTCTCAAATATATCCAACATGGTAATATATCCAACATGGTATGACGTTTGCGTGACGCGTATACAACACACGTGTACAGAAAGTGTGACCAGGGCGATAATAAAAGTCATAACTGTCAATTATATACTAGTATATGTTTTTGTGGCAGCCCAGTGCACGAACTGGCTAGACCGGCTATTGACTATTTGTTTGGGAAATGATGCTGGTGTTAATCTTAAACCCAACTTAAACACCAAATTTCAGCTCACCTCATTCACCAATTAGCTGTATTTTGTTAAGGAACAAAGTCTAGACGGTTCAGCTGTTAACGAGCTGTTAATGGCGATGATCCATAGTAGTGTCACACATACCCTCACACATGCATGAATCTCCTGTATGGATATAGACATCACGGTGCCCGCTCACCCAATGTTGTGACAGCCCGGACGCAGGACGAAAGGTCAGAACACCGGCCAGCGGTCAGTCTGATGATGTTGCCTTACTCACGAACCGTACGTAACTGGTTATTTTTGTCCAGTCAGATATTAGGGACGTTTATTGACGTTTTAGCAGTATGATGTAGATGGTATCGTGACCAAACGGCCCTCTCCATCTGATCACACTGTGAAAGTATTATATGACTGAACAATGTCAGACGCCTTTGCTTCTCTACATTCAGCTAAAACAAAATATTCCTGCTCTAAATTTTGACCATCTCAGAGTAGGATTCGAGGAAGATATTTACCGACTTCTTTTTCAAGACAACAATGTCTAATCCAGACATCCCTTTCCTTACATTTATACGCATGTCTCGGAGATTGTGCAGTGATTCAAATCCTGTTAGGAATTTGTCAAGACGGATATTTAATAAGCCTCAAAGATTGGACTTTGAGCCAGGTCGCTTCTGACCAACATGGATGTGTTAACCGGAGAGGTTCGCCAGGAATAATTGGTGACTGTGTGTTTTACTGTTGAAATGTCAGGCGTGCTCCACGTCTCCTTCTTACGAGTTAAAGATAGATTTGTGTGGGATTATTGATTTTGTTACCTCTGCTTTGACGAGCTGTCAGATTCTTTCTAGACATAATACAAGATATACGTGATATATAGAGCAGTGCAATGTTTCCATGTCAACAAATAACGTCACACCAACTATTTATGTTATTAAACAGAGTAGGACATTTTTAAAGAAACTTCCATCAATAAATAGATACTAGATCCTAACTGTATATGTATCGGGCGTGATACCAATCAATCAACGAGCATTTTTCTTCAGATTGTGAAGTGTTTTATAAAGGGATCAGACGGAATATACAGTTCACCATTAAGATTGTTTGTTTGACTCCGCTGTCTACTATTCAGCTGTAAGTCGACGTGTACAATATGGAATATGGAGGAGACGGTCCACTTGTGAATACTCACAAACAGCCATGGATGGCATTTGTTTACGATAACATACAACCAGGGAGCCTGGCCACCCAATCCACATTCGTCTCTCGACACCAGCACAGCTTACTGGCTACTGCTCTAGCTTTAAATCCCAAAGGGGATGTTATAAGTATTAATAAAGTTGCCTTCTTCTAATGCTTCTGTTTATTTTAAACCCAAAGGACATAAATGCCATTACGCTGGAAAGCAGATTTACTTTCTGACAAAAATTAGTATTCGAGGTAGAAATGTCACTAATTTAATCAATTTCAATCAGATCTAATTGTGTCACTGAATTGATTCGTATTGCGATTGAAATTATGTGAATCGACTTCTATACTGACATCTATCGACCGGTATGACCTTGCAAACAAGTTTCTCAACTTGTCGGGGCCGGCTGAAGATCTTCCAACACCTGTGTGGTGGACATCACTTACCAAATCGGTGTAATTTATCGATTAGAAAATTCGAGAGAGATTTGTGACGTCACGAGAGGCCTTACCGGAAACCGTCTGTTGCAATATGTTGACGTGACCCGCTGGCAATGTATAATTGTTATTCTGGCCCCGTCAGTAGTTTTGAGAAATTATCTCAGAAAATATTTATCGATCGCCAATAGGATGTGACGTCATCTGCCGGGGCCCAGAGAGCTGTAGAACGGATATGGCGATAAATCTAATTATCCCACTGAAAAGTTCTTCTGTGACCAATAATAGCGCAATTGCTATGTATAGAATTCTGAGATAAACATGTTGATTTGGGATATTGAGACAGAAATAATTGAATAAGTGTCTTGAGATATTACGTTCTCAAGGGCAGCGAAATGGCCGGCGTATGCTGCCTGTTGGAGTGAAGGACCGACATCAAATGGACGAGGCATTTTGAAAATCCATCTAAATAACCAAAAAGGACCAACGGCCATGACATATGTATTCTTATTACATTTATATCCTCCCCAAAATCAACACTGGCTTGATGATAATAAGTTCCGTTATATCACAGAGGGTCAGATGACCCCGAACTAATTTTCATGCAACACCTTCCGGTATAAGACAGAGGGTCAGGTGACCCCGAACTTCTGATTTAACAAAGTCGATGGTGTTTCTGTGAAGCTTGCAATTATCATGCTACAAGTATCTCTGGAATCAAGGAATCCTGGACTATTCCAGTATTGTGTAACAATGTCTGGTATTTGCTTCACATTTACCCAGCCAGACGCTGAACAAAGCCCGGGGTTTGATTACAGTGTATAAACACTTTCCTTTCTACTTCTCCCACGTGGCTTCAAAAGATCATATTCATGGTTAAAATAACGAAAATAGTTATAAATCCTTCAGGTGGTGCGCAGACACGAAATGATTTGGTTTTCGTCTCAAGACTGCTTTTTATCCAGCAACTCCAATCGAACACACATTGATTTGGATGTTCAACAAACACGTATTCTGGAATTGTCACTCGTACCGTAAACCTCTGAAACTTGTGCAGTAAGATCTTACTAGTTGTCTGAATCACTTATCGTTAGTGAGTCACAAGCATAGTACTGCACCTCAGTTTAAGCAAGGTAGACAAGCAGCTCATGTCAGAGGTCGGGGAAATTCACTACTTTGGTGGAACTCATGACCACCAGGGCCTATCAACCCAGAGGTTCGACTCTGCACAGGAAGGTAGGACAGCTTAATCTACTTGGCCATCTGGGTATCAATATCAATATAAACTTCGACACACACGGAATAAAGTCACCGATTCAGTTTCCTAAACAACCACACAAAGGCAGAACTGCCACCTAGCAGTAGCAAGAACCAATGCTGCTTTGCGCCATACGGCCCCCTCTGTCAGTGCTTTCGACCAAAACTAATATGATGAAAGAACTGGGCCCCAAGGTGCAACGTCCACGGGGAGAAAGTAGTTATATTTATAAAATAATATTGGCACTGTACATGTATTGTTAGATTGGGTCCTGGAGGTGATTATGTGTCTGGTCTAGATGGCGAGCTGAACGTATGCAAGTCAACATTTCTCTTGACGTTAGTGTGAAAAGGGGTGTCGACTCTGATTTGAGGTAGGTTGTGTTTGGTAGGTCAGCGTTTCACTTATTTTCAGTAGAGAGGCAGACTTTTCTTCGATTTCACTGTCGGACTTCTGTGTTTCTCTTGTTTCACTTGAGAGGACAGACATTTGTCTGGCTTCAGTGTCAGACTTTTCTCTGATTTACGGTTATCGAACACAGTCGGTGCCCGTGTCTGTAATTACTGCACCGGACGGTCTCAGATTACCTAAGTACCCGACCCTTCCCATACGTGTTTGTGTAGAACCATTGAAGCAGTCATTAAGCCTTTATGAAGAGTATTACCAACCTAGTTGCGGCGAATTGATCCGTGCTTTTGTCGACTAAGCATCTGCTTTGAAAACAAGCCGGGCAAGATCGGTAAGGTTTTAGTGAAGAATATTGAGCAAAACTTGATTAGGTGGCGCAGTCGCACCGGAAATAGAGTTACCTCCCTTCGTAGTTGACCTTGGCAGTATTGTGGGAGTCATCTGTTCCCGTCATCATTCGTACTCTACAAGGATATTCCCTGACGCCTTAACTGACGTCGCCATCGGTAACGTTTGCTTGACTGCAGCTCTGTGTGACGCCCATAGAAACCTTTGATACATTGCAACTGCGTGTCCAGAAATATGCACGGACGCTAAGCACAGCACTGGACTCGGTAAAGAGATAGGGAATGTTGTGAACGCCGGCAATACCAAGGGGCTCTTAGATACTGGAGGTAACCGCTGAATGGTAGCATGATTCAAGATCTGCGCCATCGTGGTGTGACCTGCAATGAGAGGGTCAAAGGTCAAAGGACCTGTACAAAAGGTCACAAAGGCACGCAAGCACGCACACACACAGACAAACACGCACACGCGAGCGCGCACGCACACACACACACAAAGAAAGAAAAACGTGTAGTCCAAAGTATTGTATTAAGGCTGTTGGCGGTGCAGATACTTTTGTCGTTCGTGCGATTACAAAACGAAGGATTCCAACAGTTCATCACACAAGCAAATACCTTCCCACACAAACAATACCTTCCCACACAAACAATTACCTTGCCACACAAACAATTACCTCCTCACATTATCGCGACACAATGGTAGACACGAGAAATTCGGTAGGCCTAATGATGTTTACTGGTGAAACTGCTACTAGTTGTTGCCTCTCGGCTAATTCCGTGATTTGTTTGAAGACAAATGTTAACCATCCGAAAGGTTCATGCCATACATACATTTGTTATTCTACTAAGGCTTTATCTGTTTACTACACCCAGCTTCTCCGTGTTGCACCTACTGACAATTCCCACTACGTTGGAAATATATTGCATGACGTTTTTCGTGACGACACCACACGTTAGGAGAGTCTATTGAATTATCCCCGACTTAATTCAATAAAAATAGCAATTACAAGTATTACAAATCCCCAAACTTCAATGTACTTGACTGAATCCTGACAATACATTTTGACTCCTGTTATTACGTATTCGATATCGGTTTATTAACACATGACAGTATGTTATTTGTGAGGGACTACAGTCAGATTTAACTAGATGTGGGGGTGGGGGAAGTTGCATTTTGTGTGTGGGGGGGTGAGTGTGTGTGTGTGTGTGTGTGTGTGTGTGTTATGGGCTACATGTAGTCGACAGACGGTCATGACGCTTGGGCTTGTAGGATGATATGATGGTGGTGTTTGGTTCTGTGAGAACAAAGACTGAGGCAAATGACAATATATTACCTCCCACCATCACCACTACCCCCCACCATCATCACTACCTCCCACATCACCACTACCCCCCACCATCACCACTGCCCCCCACCATCACCACTACCTCCCACATCAACACTACACTCCCACATCAACACTACCCCCACATCACCACTACTACCCCCACCATTACCACTATCCATCACTCACTACCCCCACCATCACCACTATCACCTACTACCCCACCATCACCATCACCATCACATCCTACTCCCCCACCATCACCATCACCACCACATCACCACTATTTCTGCACATCACCACTACCTCCCACCATTACCAACATCAACACTACCTCCTACATGACCACACTACCCCCACCATCACCATTACCCCCACCATCACCACCCATCACCACTCACCCCTTACATCACCACTACACCCCCTGCCATTACCAACATCACCACTACCTCCCCCACATGACTACTACCCCCACCATCACCATTACCCCCACCATTACCAACATCACCACTACACCATCCCCACCATCACCTCCAGCATCATCACTACATCTGCACATCACCACTCACACCCCTGCCATTACCACCGTCACTACATACCTCCACCATCACCACACTACCTCCACCATCACCACTACCACCTCTCCCACCATCACCACTCACCACCTCGCACATCACCACTCACCTTCACACATCACCACTACACCCCACCATCACCACTACACTCCCACCATCACTCACTACCTTGCACATCACCACTACTCCTCCCACCATTACCACACATATCACCACTACTCCCCACATCATACACCACTCTGCCAATACCAACATCACCACTCACTCCCCACATCACCACTACACCCCCTGCCAATACCAACATCACCTGCTACCTCCCACCATCACCACTACCTCCCACATCACCACTACACTCCCTGCCACCACTCATCACCACTACCCCACATCACCACTCACACCCCTCCATTACCAACATCACCACTACCTCCCACCATCACCACTACCTCCCACATCACCACTACACCCCACCATCACCACTACACTCCCACCATCATCACTACTCTCCCACATCACCATTACCACTCATCACCACCACTTCCCCACCATCACCACTGCCTCAAATCACCACTACTCCCCCCACTATTTCCCACATCACCACTAATACCCCCCCACCATCCCACCATCACCACTACCCCCTACATCACCACTACCCCTACCACAATACCACCATCACCACTACTCACACTCCCACCATCACCACTACCCTCCACCATTACCACCATCACCACTACCCCCACCATAACCACCATCACCTCACTACCTCCCCACATCACCACTACCTTCCACATCACCACTCACTCCCCGCCTCCACCACTACTCCCACCATCACCACTACACCTCCCACATCACCATTACCACCATCACCACTACCTCCCACATTACTACTACCCCCACCATTACCACAATCACAACTACCCCCCACCATCACCACTGCCTCCCACATCACCACTACTCCCCCACCATTACCACCATCACCACCACCCCTCCCACATCACCACTACCTTCCACATCACCACTACCCCCACCATCACCACTACCCCCACCACACCACTACCTCCTCACATCACCACTACCCCAAACCATTACCATCATCACCACTGCCTCCCTATATCACCACACTACTCCCCCACCATTACCACTACCCCCCATCACCACTACCTCCCACATCACCACTACCCCCACCATCACCACCATCACCACTACCCCTACCATCACCACTCACCCCCACCATCACCACTCATCCTGGCACATCACCATTACCACTATCACCACTGCCTCCCACATCACCACTATCCCCAACCATTACCACCATCACCACTAGCCCCCACCATCACCACTACCTCCCACATCACCATTACTACCTTCCACATCACCACTACCCCCAACCATCACCACTACCCCCACCATCACCACTGCCTCTCACATCACCACTACTCCCCTACCATCACCACCTCGCACATCACCACTATCCCCACCATTACCACCATCACCACTACCCCCACCATCACCACCATCACAACTACCTCCCACATCACCACTACCTCCCACCATCACCACTACCTCCCACCATCACCACTACCCGCCCACCATTACCACCATCCCACCATCACCACTACCTCCCACATCACCACTACCTCCCACATCACCACTACTCCCCACCATTACCACCATCACCCCCACTCACCCCCACCATTACCATCATCGACACTACCCCCACCACCACCACCATCACCACCTACCTCCCACCATCATCACACCTCCCACATCACCACTGCCACTCCCACATCACCACTACCCCCACCATTATCACCACTACCCCCACCATTACCACCATCACCACTACCCCCACCATTACCATCATCACCACTACCCCCACCATCACCACCACCATCAACACTACATCGCACCATTACCACTCACCTCCCACATCACCACTACCTCCCACATCCCCACTACCTCCCACCATACCACCACTCACCACTACCCCCCACCATTACCACCATCACCACTACCCCCCACCATCACCACCATGACCACTACCTCCTACCATTGCCACCATTACAAATGCTGATACTGTTTAATCAGTTCCTGTCTGTGTGTTACATACCGTGCAGGACCTAGGTGATACAAAGCAGCCTATGATCTCAACAACGACTGACGAACTACTTTTAGATACAGAATGATTAACGGGAATAGCCACTGGTCAACACTTCATGTCCTGATCGCGGATAATCGTCAGGAGGTGATTTGTCCGAGCAGATTCAACATGGCGTGAGAAGACTTCTCGCGAGATCTCGCACAATACGCCACCAAAAATCCAATGGTGTCTGATTGAACCAAGAGTTCATTCGAGTCAGGAATTAAAGCAGATTAATCACAAAGACTACATCTAGCCCAGAACGAGAAACCTCAGGGTGTCTCATGAGCTGCCACACGCAATAAAGTCATTTACTACTGGTCGTCTGTTCGCAGCCGCCATATTGTTGCTAATCACTATAACCTTAAAGTCACATTTCAGAATCGATGGTTCCTGCTCTTTGGCGCTGTTCGTGCCGAACTGGGTCTTGCCGGGTGAAGGCTGAGGCCATGTTGAAAGTTTGGTGATAAGAAAAGTTGTGTAATCCTCTTGTTGCTCTAACCGTCTGATTGAACACAGAGGAGACGTGTTTGTGCAGACCATGTGTTTAGCATCCCCTCATTACCGAGGAACATCACTTGAATCAATGACCAGGTCGTGTCCAGGGAGAGGAGAGGAGTCCGGAACAGAACGATACTAATAGCTTTCATGTCGACATGAAACAGTAGTTGTAGGTGGTGTCCTCACAGCTCAGTGCGATGAAGACGCGGAAAAGATTAATGAATTTGTTAATATAGTGATAGATGTTTCGGAAACCGATAAATCAGTGCCGGGTTTGTATTGGATTAGGATAGAAACACACACGAGAGTCATTGCTAGTGGATAGGACACAAATAGTCAGTGTTTCATCCTTATTAAGGAGTCCATTCTGTTGTTTCTGTTCCTGTAGCTCTGTGATATTAGTCCAGTGAAAGTGACGGTGGGTGGGTGGGTGGCACCATGGTCTGGCTTTATGACATGTCCACAGTTACTCGCCTTCGTGACACACTACATGTTTATGTAAATCACTGCTTCACCCAGCTGTATTTAAGGTTTTCACTTCAACAGGGTGAGATGACCCATGTTCCAACAAC